TAACTAATACTCGCTATATCATTTTTTTTAAATAAATAAAGGCACGACGTTAGGTGTAATAGAAAGGGAGGAAGAGGATGTGAAGAAAATAAGAAGCCGCTGAAGTAGAAGAAGGAAGAAGAGTAGAAAAGCAAGGGTATTATAAATGTATCGGTGTTGGGGGTAAATAAAATGTACTTTTTTTTTTCATCCAGTCTCATATGTGTTAAGAGAATTTACTAATATGTAAGCAAGGACTCAAGATTTCCAATTTCTGGTTCGAAAGGTTCTTTTGGATCCGGAAATATCATTGTGTCTTTTTTTTTTCCTGTTGGCAGAGGTTGCAAATATTGTTGTGATGTTATAAGGTTTGCCTCTCCACATTTTCCAGCTTACGATCGGATCCTATTGTTTTTTCATTTAACTTCCACACATGATCAATAGCTTGATAGAGTACCTAGGATTTACTAGCTGAAATGACGACCTATGATTGTACCATCTACGTATAAAAGTACCTTCTATACATCCTATGTACATTTTATTTTGGCTATTACCTATCTGTTATTTCTGATATATATATATATATATATATATATATATATATATATATATATATATATATGTCTATCGTGGATGTGTAATAACAACACATCTTTATGCTTACCCAAGACGACCGGTGGATTACAGCAGACAAATGAAAAGGTGAGCTGAAATAAAAATGATATTTTTGAAGTGGATTCACCAAAAGATTATAATTTAGACATTTAAATAGTATCAAAATTTCATTTGGTGAATTTCAGATCTCTAGCAGATTATCAATTGCATATATTTCATGAGTATCATATATTGAGCTTAAGAAATATAATGTTCTTCATTTGGAAGAAAGATTATCAATTGCATATATTTCATGATCATTTGAGTCAGAATTTATCATTTCTGAATTTTACAGCTGATTATCAATTGCATACCATTTTTATGAGTGTCATATATTAAGTTAAGAAAAATATAATGTTCTTTTCATTTAGTGAATTTTGTATCTCGAGTGATTATCAATTGCATACATTTCATGTGTGTCTTATATTGAGCTTAAGAAAATGTTCTTTCATTTGGTGAATTTCATTGACTCCAAAGTGGATTAAATCCAAATTTCTTTTAATTTGATTTCATTTGGATTAATTTAAATACTATTCGCATCATCAATTGAAGAAATATATTTTGCTGATATTTGATATTTGTCTCTTGCACACAACGGAACCAAATTTGCTGTAAGTTGCTATTTTCACAACCTAATTTATATGATTACTTTTTGTTGATATTCACAATCTTTGAGTCTACACAAATGAAAACTTTCTATTGTTATGACACGGGCTCTGGCAAGACAACACTTAACCCAATAGGGGTCAGTCGGCATAGTAGTATTCAATACTCAGTTAGACAAGTCAGTTGAAATATCAACATCTATTTTTAGACAATTATTAGAAGTAATTATCACGAATGGATCAGTCCATTCATGATAATAAGGGGATAAGTCCTTTACCACGGCACTGATGTTTAGTAATATTCGCATCTTGAATCTCGATAAATCAAAATTTGCTGACATTTAAAAACTTTCCCAAAGTGCAATTAACCAGAGAAATTTTTGTTGAAATATTCAACTTGTTTCTTTTATGTGCCCTGGTCTTTTTAGGACGTAGGCGATCATAGCACTCACCTCCCTCATCCCTTGCAGCCTCAACAGTTCTTCCTGCTTCCTCCCAGAACACGTTCTCCTGTCCCCAGGTATGTCACCCATTGTTTTCCTTCTCTCTCTCTCTCTCTCTCTCTATTCGACCCGTGAGTATCAGATTTAGCCCCTCCCTTCCTCATTATGTGTCCCAGAAACTTCAGCTGCCTCTTCATGATATTAAATATTAAGTATATTGAGTATAAGTATAAGCCTTTTCGGCAACTAAACAAATTAAAATCTACATGCATCAGGGGAATTTACAAGGTGCTTCATGTAAAATTTACTTACATTTGTTCAAATTAGGAGCACTATATATTAAAATTTGCTTGATTTTGGATATAAAATTCACTAAAAAACAAATGTTGGGAGCCTTCTAAATATAGAGGGTTACTGATGAGATGGTTATGATTAATAAGACGTGATATGAATAAAAAGCTTATGATAGGAAACGAAGATTACTAGGATAGGAAGAATAATGACTGACACTTGACAAACGTTGCAGGGTTCGTGAAGGATCCAAGCTGGATCATCCACAGAGTCGTTTTATCTTGGGGAAAATAGATGTGATTTAGACTTTTTTTACATCTCGAATACGGGTGGAAATGGGCTTGATTAGACTCTGTGGAGATGACATGGAGGACCGTAGTAGTAAAGGTCTCAACTGGTAGAACTAACGAGTATAGCTTATCTGAACATTTGCCATAGAAATAGCGATAAATTATTATTATTATTATTATTATTATTGATATTTTGGAGAAGAGGTCCTTGACTGAGATTAATTCTTTTCTCACTCATTTAAAACATGAGGTCAATAAGTAAAACATCTTTCCACGGTTATAATGTCACGAATATTTGTATATTGAATTTTTGCATTATTTTGAATATAAAAATCACAGTGAAACCTTTTTCGGGTATTTGTCAGAAAACGATGCCACGTGAGAGACAAATTCGCAGAAGTAAATGCATTTTTTAATTATGCCCATCGTAATTAAAAAATTTATTCGAATTAATTTCAAAAATTTCTTTGTTCAGGGCTGGGAAATTGTTTGTTCTAACAACTTTGGCCAACTGCATAATAAAGAAGCAAATTATGTTTTTTTTTTTTTTTATTAGTCCCTTCAAAGAAACTATCGAGGAATATGATCAAAGTTTCGCTGAGGTAAATTAGTTTGATTATCGTTTCAAAATCAATAATTGATTTACTTTTTGACTGTGATCTTCTTCCTCTTCGCCCTCTTTTCTTTATGAATGCGCAGACTTCTATATCTTTTTGCTCTTTTCGACACGCACTTTTGTCCTATTCTTACATTTTTATCTTCTCTCATCTGCCTTTTGCCTCAAAAGTCATAAATGTTTTCTTTTCTTTCTTCTGCTGTTGAAAGCGGAGACATAACTGATTCATCGCTTAATTATGTCTTACACTTGAAAAGAATAATTACTTTGTTAAATGAGGAACGCACATGCACACACACACACACACACAGAGATGAAAGAAAATATAACTTGAAGGTATGTTATATTCATGGGTTAAAGTGCTCAATATGAGGTATAGAGCGTATGTAAATATAACAGTGAACATTGAGGTCAAAAAGCCAGTGGCGACAGTCTGTATAAAGTTTAAAATGTCACACAGTTTCCGACACACACACATATATACATATATATATATTATTGAGCGCGTCAATAACAGCAAACGCGTTCAAGAAACTTTCATTGAGATAGATTTACTTAAAGGAACAATTAGCTTATCTTCATACCCTGCCTAGTGGCAAAAACGCTGCCGGTGGCACCAGGTGGCGGTCCCGCCATAGCCACCGAAACCGTGAGATCACCACTGGTCGGCGGCTGATGAAGACAGGGTATCGCACGAGAACACACGTTGTATGTTAAAAAAAAAAGTTCACATATATCTTCAGGCCATATATATATATATATATATATACATATATATGATGAAAATATAGTTTTAAGGTATACTATATTTATGGGTATAAAGCGCTCAATATTAGTGATAGAACATATGTAAATATAAAAGTGGACATTAAGTTCGACACTCAGCGGCGACAATCTATTTCATGCTTAAACGCAATTCAAGCAGTAAATTATATTTGGCAGTTAAAAATAAACGGGCTTTATATATCCATGTAATGTTTTATTAACTTTTGAGTTATGAATATTAATGTTTTAATTAGAGCGAGATTACTTTTTCTCATTTAAAGAAGAGATAATATCTATATTTATTTATATATATTTAATAGTCCTTTTTTAACACTAGCACTATATATATATATATATATATATATATATATATATATATATATATATATATATAAAAAAGGCTAACACACCAATATTCCATGGTTATAATTTTTTTTTTTTTTTTTTGTGGGTGGAATTTAGTAGGTCTGATGATTTGGATCGATTACGATTCCAATGTAATAAATTATAACCATGGAATATTAGTGTTTGAGCTTTTTATATTATATTCTATTTGTCCTGGACATTGAGTTCTCCTGGATTCTATCCCTCTTGGTAATATATATATATATATATATATATATATATACACACCCAGGTGTATAATATAAATTGTAAATTGTCCAAGCGTTAGAAAATGGTTAGCGATACCTTTACTGGATGGATTTTTGAATGGACTTTGAAGACTGAAGTCTGAGTATGAATGTTGGTACATTTACTAAAGACCTTAATTTTTTGTCTCATCATTGCTCAGCTGGAAGATATAGTGGGACTGACACAAAACGATTTTAACTTGTTCTCTTTCAAGCTGAATAACTCAAACGGATTTTAGTGATTCTACGATAGGCGGTGTTAAAATGGCTAAAGTCTTATTTGAAAAACCTGGAAAAACGACACCGAAATAGTTCATTTTTTTTTTTTTAGATATTAAACATTTTGTAGGCAGAACATGATGATCCTATGCCGTTGCAATGATTTGAAAAAAATTGCTGTTCCACAGTGTATATAGAGAGTATAATTATTTATTTGGGGAATATGAGTTCAACACGTTCTGTTTCGTTAAATAAGAACTGAAAACTTCAATATATAGTATATTAAGTTTTCGCCTTTTTTGAAACATGAGACTTCTTATGTAGTGTTGGAATCATATTTTTGAATAAATAATTATATTTAGGTTCTACTTTTGAATCGAGCACTATTTTTTCAAAATAATAATAAAATACCAAAGAACTTTTGGATTATTTACCCAACGAGTTCTTTCCTATTCTCTATATATTTTCACACACACACACACACACACACACACACACACACACACATATATATATATATATATATATATAGATAGATAGATAGATAGATAGATAGATAGATAAGAAATAGATATAGATAGATAGATAGATAGATAGATAGATAGATATACTGTTAGTAGTATGTAGCAAATTAAATTTATTTACAAAATTTGCAGGTAAAATTCCTTCTATATCAAACCAAAACGCTTATATAGAATACAAAATATAAAAAAGATTGTCAAGCGAAGTTAACATATTTTTTCAGAATGCATTTTTTACAAAATATATTGGCTTAGCAGAAAGAAAGAAAGAAAGAAAGAAATGTAATGAAGGCGAGACCGTCTGGCAAAATAAATAAAGACTTAAAATGAACGAAAAAAGGGAAAGAAAGAAAGAGCAATGAAGGCGTGAACGTCTGGCAAAGAAAGAAAGAAAGAAAGAAAGAAAGAAAGAAAGAAAGAAAGAAAGAAAGAAAGAAAGAAAAAATCATACAGAAAAAGAAAGAAAGGAAAAATAATCTAAAATGAATTGTTAAAAGTGAAAGAATTAAAAGTACATTTTTAATGAACAGGAAAAGAACGAACAAAAAAATGAATTCTTATATATATATATATATATATATATATATATATATATATTCTTCTCGCCACGGTTCCCGTAACCCATTAGAGTCGGTGGCGGGTAGGGTAGGCCTCATACATGTAGTGGCTGCGATAACAATGGTGTATCTTGACGAAGCTCATTCCTTTCCAGGCTGGTTTTTGAATTCAAAATTTTCCATTTGTTAGATTACATTGAATCTTGTATCACAGAAATCTCAGTGGAATTCCTCAGAGTTTTTTTTTTTTTTTATAACAATATTGGCCTCACTTTGACAAATAAAAATGTATAATTACTGTCGAAGATTAACACATGAACTGTATGAAATTGATGATAAACAAAATGACATGTTCATCATTAATTAATCATAGCTAAGGATCGAAGCTCATGAAGGATTGAAATAAATTATATATATATATATATATATATATATATATATATATATATAAGTTAAAGAACTTGGTAATCCGTATGGGTAATCCCAAGGAGGATGAAAATCTTGAGAGTTCAATGTAAATCCAGAGCTAATATTTAAAAAAGAAAAAAAGAAAAACCACTTTGGTTACCATCATAATAATTTATTTCAACAAAGTCCTTTTGAAGGACGCTGGATCATCAGATAGATCTTCCAAAAATGAAATGAAAACGAAAATGAAATTTAAATTGATGGGTAGTGTATATATATAATTTAACATACAGTTTAAAAGGGATAGTTAAATAGACATGTGGTAAATGTATATATATTAATTCATATCTCTCATATATATTTATATTATATATATATATATACCTTGACCTATATATATATATAACTTAATTTATAGTGATATATATAGAAATTTTGAGGAGTAAAACAAAAATTTCTGGGAATAATGCAAAAAAGTAAAAAAGGGAGAGGAAGTAAAATTAGTGGCTGTAATTGGGTTTATATATATATATATATATATATAAATTTTAATGCTTGATAGAATTTAGGCTGTCTAAAAAAATTCTGATGTTTGCTATCAATTTAAATGTTATAATTTTTAAAACAAATAGTTTAGGGACTTAATATAAGTTATATCTATATTTATCCTGACATTGATTTATAGACAATCCTATTGTAATATTTTTAAATTATATATTGACCACTTTTATCTATCAATCGTATCTTTTTTTATCTATCTATCTATAGTTATATATATCTTTATATATATTTATTTTAATTAATTTATGAATGCAAAAATCCATTATTTTGTATATAGGTAATTATTTACAAAAGTTTAGGTTTAATTATGATCTTATTTAACCCTGTAAATGGACCTATTTATTTCTTCTTATATATCACATACATATTCATTAGTACCCATATATACATACGTTTTTTTTGCTGCGCAAATACATTAGACACACACATGTAATCTATATACATATGTCCTATCCATATTCCTACATAAAGGTATTAATCATACATTTATAATGATTACATATATTTTAATATTTGGTTCTATAGCCTTTGTTTAATTTCATAGTTAAAGTTTAACTCTGAATTCTGAACTCCAGTGAGGTTAAAAAAAAAATTAAGTTAATATTTTAGGTATCAATATTGATCCTTAAAGAAGTTGGATGGTTAAATTTGAGGCCTTATCAATTTAAAATGAAATCTCATCCAGTTGATAAATATCGGTTTCTAAACGATCTAATTACAGAACATTAAAAGAAAGGGAGATTAAATATATATAAACTAAAATTTAAAACACATTTAAAAATGACCTTATGTCCTTCCATTTTGAATACATTCTGTATACATACACACACACACATATATATATACATACACACACATATACATACACATACATACATATACATATATGCATAAATATACATATATATACATATATACACATATACATACACACACATACACCCCACATAACACACACACAAGTTACATACATAAACAAGCATATAAACGAACTATACCCATAGCATCCAGCCGTATTTATATTACTATGTTATACAAATATATATTCACATGTACAAATATTAACTTTAAAATATTTACCTCTTATACACATATACATAGATTACATGCAATTTCATATCAAAAACAATATATATATATATATATATATATATATATATATATATATATATATCCATACACACGCACATATACATATACATACACATACATACACACATACATACATGCAAAAAACATATACACATATATATATATACAAAAAATACTAGCCAAAAACTACGCTTGCACCTATACATACATATATATATATATTCATATATATATATATATATATATATACATATATACATACACATACACATATACATATGAGCTGCATCTTCATACAAACACATATATGCATATAAGCATTTTATCCAAAATGCCTAACATATATATATATATATATATATATATATATATATATATATGTCCAGGTTCATCTTACGTTTTAGGAGTAGCATACGACCAAGTACAGCATCTATGTGTTCATACATTCATTTTAAAAACAAAAGTAATATTTTCCTTTTATATAGTTATTTCTAAATATATTTAGTTAAATGGAGGTGGCTTTTGCGTTCACATTTAAAACCAACTGTTGTGTTTGTTCGTAATATGTCCGGATCTTTATGCCTTATTATTAGGATTTTCTTTTATGCACAAATTACATCGGTCTCTGAAATTTATAGGAGTTCTAGCCTCGACATGATTTTCCATTTTACTTGTGGGGTTAAGTTGCTTTCCAACAAATACATATAATGTTTTGATAGTGCTGTTTGTTGCTTCATGGATTTATTTGTGAAGGATTGGCGATGGTTATAAACGTTGCTTCCAATTTCCTGCCGATATTCCTATGTATATCTTTTTCTGTTTAATATCTTCTTTGGGGAAAATTGTAGCTTCGTATATTACGTTTTCGCCATGCATATTCCCCTACTGACAAACGGATCCTTCCCTGCAATTTTTCTTTGGCTTGCATTAAGATCTTTTTTGTAGTTGCTTTTATTATGAAATTCACTTAAAATTTTTATATTATATATATATATATATATATATATATATATATATATATGTATGTATGTATATATATATATATTATTCCAAGATCATTTTCCAATTTGTTCAAGATGATCTTCGCCATATCTAAACGTTCTAACTTTCTGTCCTGAAGTAACAAGATGCTTCACAGGTTTCACGGACGATTTCATTTTCAAGTAATTTTTTCACTGCCTTTGGACAGCCATAGCTGAAACTCCTCCTCACGTGCTAAACATCATATGATTGAGTTGGATCTTTTCTAATAGATCTTTTATCTCTGTTGAATGATGATCCTCTTCCTTTTTTGTGACTTCGATACCTCTTGGACGGACTATAAAGATGGAAGCCAGAGTATGAATATTAGTATCATTACTGAATGAACTGTTTTTTGGCTAATCGGGGATGACAGTGGGTCTAACCAACACAAACGATTTTAGCCTGTTCTTTCTCGCTGCATAACTCAAAGTTATTTTGTCAGTGATTCCCAAGAAATGGTATCAAGATGGCTAAGCGCTTATTGAAAACGCGAAACGGGAGAAAAGAAAATTAGTTAAGAGGTTGTTTAGATATTAAACATTCGTGGATGGACAATTATGCTGTTACATCGATTCGACAATTTTGCTGTTACACCCGGTTGGTGTGTCGCCAGGAAGTTCTTCCACAGACAGACACGCCTCGCAAATTTACTGGCATTGTTGTCTTTACACTGCAGTGATATTGGCAATCTTCTGTAACTAACCAGACATTCGCAAGTTAATCTACACGTGTTAGGATGGTTCATTGGACGAATATTGCCGACTTTTGTGCACAACAGACGAGGCAGGTTCAAGCAATTTTCCAAATTGACCAT